CAACTGGAAAATCATGTTAAACAAGATATTACTCATAAAAGAGTATTTTTACATAGTTTGAAACATGTCTAGAGAGTAACTTTAGGCATGGGGATAATGTTCACCATGTTCACTGTATTAGTTCAGCGTGTTAGCATGCTGACATTTTGGTAATTAACACTAAACACAAATTAACCTACAGCTGGTGCTGAGGGGAATGTCATTTGTTTTGCAGTTATTTGGGCTCACACCAAAGTATTACATGAACCTAAATTTGACCTAATGATGCCACTGGATGAAAAGTCAAGGGCTCACCAAAGTTAATACATTCAATCCTGAAGGGAACATGAATACTTGTACCAAATGTCAGAGCAATCAATATATTTCAGTGTGGCTCAGAGTTATGGACTGACTGACTTTAAAGTTATGTCATTTTATTTCATAATTAGGTAACACTGTATTATCAAAAAAAAAAAAAGAAAAGCTTCCCACTTTCCCCTTGCTTCATGAAGCTGTTTTGGTCATCATTTTATCATTAAACCTCCATGACAATCTGAAGGAACTCAGTAGGGAATACAAGGTGATGAGTCAGTGTGGGAAGTTGTTTTTGTGGTCTTTTTTCTGTGTTCCTACACAGTTGTTTAATGTTTGTGTCGTACCAGTGGGTTTGAAAAGCAGCTGGTTTGAACGTGTAGGCGGCACGCCTCAGCATCCAATTAAGCGTAGTAGCGCAGAGGAGGAGGACACGTCCCCTCTACCCCAGGACAGAAAGGCCCTGCTGTCTCCTCAGATGAAAGCAGGTGCACAGTGACAGGCAGTAAATGTCAGACCGTGGGTCCACTGAAGGCAACCGAAGCAGCATCAGACTGAAGGAGTGAGTCACGGATGCACCCTGTAGTGCAGTGTGGAAGATGTTAGTCATTAGTCCCTAAATCATTAGCCACATGTAATGGTTGAGAATAATAGTTTCTGTGCTACTGTTCCACAGTTTATAAACCACACAAAACATTATCACACACGATCCATCAGTGCTGTCTGCGCCTTCACACAAATGAATAACTTTGTCAACTTGTCAATATGATATGTACACTCTTTTCTGAGGGGAATTATTACCGATGGCTTCCCAGAGGGCAGTCAGACAGGTGAACACACAGGTAGAGTAGCTGGCACATGTTGATCAATAGTGGCAAAACACAGTCAGAGAGTCAGACCAACGCAGGGTTGTTCGGGGACTGTGAGTTGGAGGCTGCTGCCTACTGGAGTGGAAAGAGTTAGCACTTGTTTTATATTTTTCTGTGCCTGCATGGGAGAGAACATGGTGTTCAGTCCAGTCAGTGTCCAGGTAGTTTTGTATTGCAGAACTGATTTCTCACAGGAGATAATCTGAAACATTTTATTATGGTTCACCGACGAGAGCAACATTATGCTGCACGACACAAATTAAGCACCTGTTTCCTCTGTTTCTCATTCTGCCATGGTGAAGTACAATATGTGAGGAAATAATGAGCCGCAAATAATGAGCTGTTTGAGGAAATGATGAGCATTTGATGAATGTTGTAATAATAGCTTTATCAATGTTAATTGATCATTACTAATGCTTTATCATTAGATCAGTTATAAGCAATAATTAAGGTGTAGAAAAAAAAAAACTCTTACTGGGGATTTATTAGCCAGAACATTCAAAAAATGCTAGTAAGTCATTAAACCATAAAAAATAAATAGTTAGTAAAATAGTTTCTCACATTACAATAAGCCATCACCAAAAGTTATTATGTCATCTGATACAAAATACTTATTTGTTGTAATTGCAAGATGTTGTGGGTATATCTGATCAGAGTGAATTAACTGTTCACATCTGAATAACGTATTCCTATTTGTTTATACCCATATCATGAAGTCTGCAGTTGTAAATATTAATAAAAAGATAATAAACTGATTGTGGTCCTGGTGCTCTGCAGTACTTTCCCGAAAGGTCAGAAGTCAAATGGTCTATTGGAGGCGTTGACCAGATGAACTTAAAAGCAACTTGCTGGCAGAGGATCAACAGCTTTTCACAACCTGGCAGTTCAAAAATTGTTCTCACTTATGGCTTAAATTGATTTATAAAGAATCATTAGTTTAATTAATAACTCCTAATAAGGCCATTATGAACCCTTGATAGTGGGTGACTTGTTTTAGATAAAGTCGCCTACTTTTTTCTCTCTTTTACCTTCAAACTTTGACATTTGAGGAAACAGTGTTAAATGCTCTGTTTCTCAGCAACTGATGTGGGAAATCTGTTTATGACAGTGGCAGAGTCGTGCAGGCCCACACAGAGAGGAGGCTATACTGCGGATAGATCGACTAAATCTCATTTACTTAGCCTCCCCCAGGAGAGTGGGCAGATCAGAGGACTGAAGAAATGGATGCGTGTCTGTATCAAATGCTTAACAGCCTCATGCCAGGATTTTTTTTCCAAATCCTTTACACAAAGCAGGATGTGCAGTATTTTGTGCTTTCATGTTTAAAGAATTTAACTTCCAAGCATGACAGAAGCATCTTTGGAAAATATTTACTCAAATTCAATTCAGTCAGTATTTTGAAATCATAGATGATCTTTTTTTTATTATACATTTTACTCTATTATAGATTAACTTTATTTTACTGATTGCATGTTCTAAGTTTATACTATATGTTGAAGATAACTACAGGCAAGCAAAAAACAAACCTGACCACCTGCTGCCCTGTAGTAACCTCTAGCACATCTGCAGCTTTTCTGAAACTCACTTCATGGACAGAAGTGATGGTTCAAGCCAGTAGACGGTGCAAATTACAGAGTGAGGAAAGGAGCCATGAATTTGTATTGAAAGGAGAGAGAAAAAAAGCTGAATGGGAAGTGTGACTTGATATGAAGAGTGTAATTAAGTGTGAGAATGTGTTTTCCATCCAACTGGGCCCATGATGCAAATTTCCACATTTTACCCATTGTAATGGTTGTTATTACTTATTCTGTGGGTGTGTGCATTAGTGTGTGTACTGTTATTGTGTGTGTGTGTGTGTGTGTGTGTGTGTGTATGAGTAGCTGCATTCACATTTGATGATCTGATATGACAGAAGATCACCCTAGGAGTTAGATTACATCACCTTTGGATTGCACATCCTATAGATATTTATAACTACCGGGAGGGATGTTGCCCACTGTGAACAGGAAATAATGACTAAAGGATTTAGTCATAAAGCATACACTTGTCACATCTCTGTCAGGACCAGATGATGTGAACACAGGCTGGGTGAAAAATCGACCAGGAAGGGTTAGGGAAAAGGTTTGCATATGTCTTGGGAATAGTAACTGAATTTTTATCAGGCTGCTCCATGATGCCAAAATCTACAAATATCACTGTCCCTCACAGCAGCAAGACTTTAAGTGAATACACAGTATACTGTATGTGGATGTTTGGAGCTGGATGACAGTGGCATTCAGTTATAGTGACCGAGGGAGTTTTAGTTTGAAAAAACTTTCATCCAATTAAGTTTTATTGAGTTTTATTTTATTGACTGTCACTCTTCCAGCTAAGAAGCAGAAATGTCCCCATATTTCCATCAAATCACCATGACAGCTGGCACACTGTCTGAGGAGCTCAGCTACTCACTGTCTCTGGTGCAGCTGCAGCATTTGCCTCTCAGTGACATCATCGTCATCATCATCGTCATCATTATTACAAACACTAACATTACTTTGTGTTTAATGCTAATTAGTAAATGTTAGCTGAAAGCATGCTAAACTAAGGTGGTGAAGATTTAAAAAAACATTATACCTGCTAAACATCAGCACAATAGCGTTGTCACTGTGAGCATGTTAGCATGCTGACATTAGCATTTAGCTCAAAGCACCACTGTGTTTAAAGTATGGTCTCACAGAATTGCAAGCAAGACTTTTAAAGGCTTTCAGAAGAGCCACTGTTACAGCTACATCTGCCATCCAATGATATTAGCTAACTATATCATAATCGATGTTCATATTTAGAAGCTGCTGCTGCTCCAGGACCGATTCTCTTCAGATGATTCAGGTGATTAAAATATAAAGAATTTGAACCATCATTAAATCAGGCAAATGTAGCTATGTAGGTGTTCACAAGGTCTCTGACAAAACTCTCCCAGAGCTTTTTAATTTATAAAATGAATGTATCATTTGTTGTTCCAGCAGTACAATAGGCCTTTTTCAGAAAGTAGAGGCAGGAAGTAAATAACATTACAACGCGTTGCAATTCAAAGCCAATATGAATAAATAGGCCTCAGACATTTTGACTTGTCAAAGTGGGAAAACATGTCAGAACATTAACAATGCCTCTGTTACATCTCAGTAAGCAATGACAGTGAGACAGTGAGCCAGCACCCACAATAACTGGACCCTGAAACTAAATGGCATAACTAAATGGAATTCAGCCATCATTCAGTTTATTTACACCTATGTTTTTCCCACTGTGACATGTCTGGAAAAAAGCCAATATAGCTGATGAATGCCATGCGTTCAAACCTTTGATTCTTGTATCTGGACTGTCTTATTGTCCTCAATGTCCATTTACCATCAAGGACAGGTTTCACTGTCTTTACATGTTTTCTGGCTTTATCACAGCCAGAGTCTCTGGAGTGTCACCCATACACAACAAAAGTTTATTTATATAATATAATGATTTATTTTAGATCTTCTGACACTATTTCCTTTTAAAAGCAAAGACATTCATATACAGTTGAGACAATACATGCCACCAGTAGGCATCAACATGGTCTATATACTATACATAAACTCAATTGATTTGTATTAAAAACACATTACATTTTCTAAAATGTGTCATTATTATATATGTGCCAAATAAATGTCAAGAATTGTTATGTTCAAACCCACCCTTCTGATTTTGTTACAAAGGGTGTCACATTTTTAGATATTGAAATAATAATAAGTGTTATAAAGAAACACACACACGTTTTTGGCATTAGGCATTGCTTGACTGGCTGAATAAGGGTTGTTTTACAGTACAACTGTGAATCATAAAGCCACCACATGTTTATTGTAAGTTCCAGTGGCTGAAAAGAGGACAAAAACCTTTTTCCCCTTTTGGGAACTGCACAAATAAAACAATAATTCAGCCCACATGCTACATAAAGTGAGGCCAGTGTAACGGCCTCACACTGAATGTCAGATGTGTTTACAGCTTGTGGACAAATACTGGCACAGCAATACACCACAGCAAACCACAGGCAGAGTGGCAACATAGATGCACCGAAATTTGCACTGAAATCTTTGAAAATCCAACAAGTTCTATTGAACATTAACATTTGTAGCCTCTGGGCACAATACAAACAGTACTACAACATCAGCACAAATTGCATACAGTACATCCAGTATGATACAGTTTTACAGACTACAGTTTTAAGAAGTCACAGTGGAAATAATGAAAAAGGCAATGCAGGGATGCAGAATACTGTTGATATGGAGAGAACTGCTGCACATCCCTCCTCACACACTCCTCCACACGGTGATCAATGTGTAGATACACACGGACCATCTGAATATTGTCTCTCCCTTGAACAGCATTACTAAGTATTTAATTCATGAACATTATCTGTTGATAAATAACATGGAAAACTCTCAAAGTTAGCATGGCGAGCAAAAATCCACAACAGAACTAAAAAAACAAAAACAAAAATACAAAATAAATACTTTGGCAGCAGTTATCGCATGTTATTCCCACCTACAAGGAACTCCACCTCTAGGACACTCACTAGGCTGCAAAGGGACACTGGTGCAGTCTGTCTGTCAGTCCTACACATCCGATTGGATGGTGTGCCAGCGAGCCGTTTCTATTTGCCCCCGACTGCACATTTCCTTCCAGTGTCCCTGTCCCGCCTCTGAAGCATCGCTGCCAATCAGCACACGACCCAAAGCACTGCTCTTAGTGTAGAGACGGCCCTGAAGATCATTAAGAAGTCACAATGAGGTATTCATTTCCAGTATTGCAGCATTTCAACATAAAACTGCATGTTTCTGTCAAATACATACTGTATATACAGGATGTAGAACTTCTCACCTGCATGATGATGAATTCAAGCACTAATGGCAGTTGAGTGATGTCACCAGGGGGCACGTCAAACAGAAATGGAGCGTTCCAGACGGGGTTCGGACCACTGGCTCCTTTGGTCTCCTTGGTACCAATTACTTTCCCATCCTGACGCAAGTTGATGACAACGTAGTGGTCTGTGTGAAAAAATGATATCCACCGTCATCATTGTATTTTATATATCAGATTTGGTCTATTTATCTCATAATTAGATTAAACTGTTTATTTCTACAAGGGTCAATGAATAAAAAGGAGAAGTAAAATCATTTACATAAATATTTGGTGTAAATGAATGAATCTACAGTACTGCAGTGTTGTGTATTGTGTTGTTAACCTCACATGAAATGTATCTACACATGCTGATTTACATCCTCATAATCCTCTCTGAGCACCTCTCCACCGTCACTGTTACAAATCGGCACCATCACTTCCAAAATATGATTTCCCCTTTAAACCCAGTCTTGCAAGCTAATTGGATTTAGTCAAATTAAAAAGCAATGTGTCACTGTCAGATAAGAATCACGCATTTACAAAAAGCAGTCATTTTCACTAATTTTAGGACCCATTTGATCTTGAAACTCATCAGCAACACACAACTGACCATGTAGTCTCAAACTGTCCTTTAAGGTGTGAGAAAACCAAAACATCAAAGTTATTTTTTCTTTTTACAGAAGCTCCTGTTTCCTCCTCTCCACAGAGCTTTAAATCAGATGCAGTGAGATGTGATACAGACAGGAGGGGAAATGACACCGGGCTGATCGGTTCCTAATCTGATTACTGCAAACCCATCAGGGAAGCAGTCTGTCTGACCATGGCTGGAGTAATAGAGGAGAATACAGTCAGAGGCAGTATTAGCAGTTTACATGTCAGCCAGTGTATTCATGTGCGTTGCAGCTTATATTAAGCATGCTGACTAAGCATGTGACTAAGTATACTAAGTACATGTATTTAATGGTATCTAATGGTATATTTGTAAAGTCCAAAGCAATATCCATCCACTTGAGGAGGTTAATAGACGTTGATACAGTTTCTGCAGGTTGCCATTAAAGACTGCGTAAAGACTGTTGCACCACTAAACCTACCGCTCATGAATTAACATGTTACATCTCTTTTATTTCATTGGTTTAGAAGGCAAAATGTAAAAACCACAAACTCTGGATCATCTGACCCCTGTCGACACATGAGAGCAGTACCAATGTTTTAATCTAACTCCCCGCAAGAAAACAAATAAGCAAATGTTGAATTATTCCTTCAAATGCAAAAAAAAAAAAAAAAAAAAGAGGCGGGGGATAAACAGCCTATTTTATTTATTAGATATGAGGACTTGCTGGTCTTCACCTGGAGCTCCTGGGATCCTTGTGAGCTTGGCCAGATTCTCAGCCTTTCGGACCATCACTTTGATGCGTTGGGCCAGCGTCTGGTACTGCAGCAGGATGAACAGTTGGCCTAAAGCACGTGGTGCACACACTGAGCTCTTCCTGTGACCCAAGGTTTCCTGAGAACTCACACTCTGAGGGCGGGAGGGAGAAGGACAACAAAACCGTGAGATAAAGACAAAATGTGAGAGATTTTAGCAAGAGGGAGAAAAAGTCTTCTTTCACCCCAGCAGATGTTCCCTTCATCCTTTGGGAGGCTGGGAATGAAACGAAGCCAAGGGGGAAAAACCACAAGAACATAGAGCAGATCCAAGCTGTAAAGCACTTAAATCCCATGCTCTAAGCCATGCTCATCAAGATGTTGATGTCTAAAGTTCTGTCAATGTCGACCAAAGTGTCAAAGTCAACGTATCAATTTCCCATCAGGGGAATTTCAAAGGGATTTTCTGTAAATCAATGGGAACAGGTTAAAAGTTTCATTCTGAGTCAGTTTGTCTTCATCTGAAGGAAAATGTATTCAGCTTTTATTCATGAGGCCTCTTTGCCACTCAGAATTAATCATTCTTCTGTCAGTGGAAAGGATTTTCTTTTGTAATAATTGATATTCATGCACTAAGGCGCTTTGGTTAAAGGTAACAGCTAATGTGTAAGTATGATGATCATTTCCATCTGATTTCACGTCAGATTTCATTAGCTTGCATTGTTTGGGGTCCTGCGAGTCACAGTCTGCTAAAAATTGGCTGAGCGTTAGCCCGCCAGCGACTTGCTGAGGCTGGGCAGCAGAGTGTGAAGGCCATTTCATCCAACAAGTGAGTTTTGGTTCACTGCCTCTGTCTGTCACTAGCACTTCGCCTCAGAGACCGTCACTCACATTTACACCGCCTTTTAAAAGGAGTGACGTTATTCTGCAAACACACAATAAAGCTACAGCCTGAGGTTTGTTTTTCCGGAAAGTAACACTGGTGATTTGGTGAAATGGTGATTTGATATGAAGCAAAATAAATTATTGCCTATTGCATTTTTTCTCATAAATCTTAAATTCCTACCTCTACACTGACAACCAAACAGAGGGAGAACTGTGTTGCATCTCTCTTTACCTGTGATAATAAGATTTGAGGCTAGTTCATAAAATCTGGCTGTACAGCCGAATCCTCTTCCTCCTCAAAATTTGTCTTATATCAAAAACAAATACTATAATACAATGTACTATTATATAATAACATAAAAATGAAATGAAAAATGTTCTTACTCTTATCTTATCCTCAGGCACAATATAGTTGGAAGTAAGACTTATTTGCAGTGGACTGCATTAGTCTTTTCTTCTCTTATTATTTGGTAACTCTGTTCACTCTAGTTACATAACGGGACCCAACAGACAGATTATATGAGTCATCCAGTGATCTCCATAACATGGAAGCCTCAGAAGATAGGGGGGAAAGTATTATGATACTGACAAACTTCTCCCTGTGGTTTTACATCATTTATCCTTTATTTGTATAGGAATGATTGACCGAATATTCACACTATCAGCGACAGCTTCACTTTCCCCGCAGTCTCCATCTATAAGGCACTCCGCAGTTTAGCATACTATCCCTTCCACATTTTCTCAAGATGCAAATCTTTCAGTCACAGATTTAGTAATCTCCAGGTCACTGCCACCACATCCTCCAGGCTGAAAAATGAAGCCAACAACAAAGTGCCAAAAACTTCCTCGAATGACCACTTGAGGCTCCAAAAGTGAGTAAATCCCCATAGACTCTCACGTTAAAATACCCAACTTTACAGCAGAAATCAACATGTTTACAGCCTGGTGCAAAAAATGGTTTTATTCTCGATAGCCAATTTCCCCCCTCATGGCAACTGCACGGAAAGTGAACTTCTGTATATCTCAGCTGTTTAAATTTTATTTAGGCTTAAAGTTCTGCATAATGGAGGGCGTGGCCGCTTTGAGTGACAGGTGGGTGTTGTGTTGATATGGAGAAAATATGGTGATAATGTATGTTAACTGTATGTGTAGATCACTTCCTCCCAGTTCTATCATCAGTTTAAATGGATTAAATATTTAACATTCCTATATGTACTCCTAAAGTTAACCATATGCTCATTAGCTAACAACAGAAAGCAGAGGTTAGTGGCCATTTTTCTTCCTTCTGATCTTCCTGACAGTCAATAGGAGCAATGTTGTGTTCAGGCTCCTCTTGAGCTAAAATGTACAGTCCTGAAATCTCCATCATGTCATGCCCTCCACTCCCATGGGGTGTCAAAACAAGTAAGGTGCTGCAGATGAATAATCGTCAATAGCCCGGCTGGTCCCCTTAAACTAATTACAAAACCTGGTGTTTTTCTATAAATCCAGGAAGTGGCTACATTAAAAGATGTAATCTCGACTGACTCCATCTGGCCCACCCACCAGAAATGATTTTTTCCCACCCACCACGCACACAGCATGACTCTGTGGCAAAAATCAGTGACTGACTGACTAATGTCCACTAAAACATCAGGACCCCCCTCGCTGCAAAAGCCTGTTATTAATGCCCTCTGGCACTGTTTCGACAGAGCTGCAGAGGGCACGGCGTGGGCGCACTGCCAATCTGCTGCACTCTGCTTGTTTGCTCTGCAATCGCTAACAACAATGTCACCATGACTAACAACGGTGGAAAACTGGCTAACGGGAAAGCTGATTAGATGCTACATTCCTTCATGGATAAAACATGATATGTGCTATTTATAAGCCCATGTGCATAGTTTCTCTATCTGTGAAATCAACTGAACATGCAGACTTTGTTAAAAAGGTTTTGAAACATACATTAAGATCAAAGAGAGCAGGAAGTACAATCAGTAGCCCAAAAAGGAGTTATGATCGCAGCTAGACACCCTCAGACACACACAAAGCCCACGGTCCACCCTGCTTCAGTTTGTACTTAAGGTCATTAGGCGGACACAGGCGCGTGAAAAACTCAAGGGCATGACCCAAAACATACCAGGTCTCTGGTCCACACGTCCCAGTCCACTTTGTTTCCTGTTTGAGTCAGAATTAAATCGCCTTGGGGTCTAAGGTCTGTGTAAAATTTTGATTGGATCTGACAGCACCCAAAACAACAAGAGAAAGAGCCTCATTACTCGAGCACCCCAGGTTGCATCTTCCGCCAGCCAATCAAAATGCAACAAATTACTCCACTCAGTTGAATGTGTCTTATCATTTTAGAGATTGCTTTTTTTCATTTAAAGCAAATCTTTTCTCTTTCCTGCCAAGAGTTAGATGGGAAGATCAATACCAGTGATCCAGCAGACAGTTTAGCCAGTTTAGCTTAGCATAAAGACTGGAAGCAAGGAAAAGAAGCTAGCATGGTTTTTATCTGAAGGTATCGAAATCTGCCTACCAGCACATCTAAACCTCACTAATTAACGAGTCATATCTTGCTTGGTTAATCTGCAGTCTTTAGTCCAAAGACAACAGGTTATGGTTTACTGTGAGAGTTCTGATGTCAGTGTGAGCTTTATGAGGAATGGAGACTTCAGGAAGTGACTGTTACATGGCCAAATTTTTACATTGCACAGATTAAATAAATGAGATAAAACATGTTAATTAGTGAGCTTCACAGGTGCTGGGAGGCAGATTTTATTGCCTTTGGACAGAACCAGGACAGCTGTTTCCGCCTGCGTCCAGTCTTTACGCTAAGCTAAACCGACCACCTGCTGGTTCAGACCTGCCTGCCAGCCCTTCTGTGTGAAGTTGGCATGTTACCCCACCTCTCGCCCGCTGTCTGCTAGGATTGGCTTCAGATCCCCTGTGATATATGGTAAATGGTATAGCTAATGGACGGATTAATATCATAACTATTCCTTGACCAGAGAGACAGCTGACATGGGTTCTACCCCAAGTTAGCCAGCTCTTTGTGTGCACTGCAGTTCTGACTACAGGCTACCACTTAAATTCAGATAACTTGTATTAAATAAAGGTTTTGGTGTGGTGCTGGTTAAGGCAACAACTGCTCTGTGGGCTTTTGGAGGCTGCCAATCTGCCCTTTATTAGACTCTGCAGACACTTTCACTTGGTTTTCATGTTGGGCTCAGGTCCAGTTGCTGAGAGCCAAGTCCTCCTTGGGCTTTCATCACAGGACCTCTAATTATCTGTTTTTCACTGCACCTTTGTCTGTTTTCTTATTCTATGCACTTAACGGTAATGCATACATCAATACAATAAATGAAATCACCATCTACCTTTTTCAACTTGTTTTTAGTTGGGCTGAGCTGCCTGGTGTAGGTGGTGGTGATGTCGGGTTCCCAATCCATTTGCTCACAGAGCAGCTCCACCACCCCCAGCGCAGTCTCTCTCAGGCCTGAGAAGTCCCTGCTGTAGACAGCTAGTCTCAAGGTGCAGGTGCACAGCTCTTCCACTGAGCCCACCTGCAGCACAAAGCTCTGACTGTGGAGGTCTGGGCTGAGGCTACGGCGCCGAGAGGCGATCTGCTGAGGGGAGGGGCAGAGTGGAGGAAGGCTGACTCGGACAAACACCCCGCTGCGCCTTCGACTGGCCCCCGAGAGCCCCAGGATGTTGACCGCCAGGGTGCCGCAGGCAGAGGAGAAGAGCAGGGAGAAGTGCAGGAGAGGAGCAGGTTTAGAGGGGATGGATAGAGAGTTAGAGCCATACCGTGATAGCTCCCCCTGCTGGGTAGGAGCTCTGGCAGCACCAGCAGTCAGTCGACTGCTTTCGCTGTAAAGAAAACTCTCACCGCTCACAGTGCTTCGTCGACCCATCGCCCGACGAGATTTGGACACCAGATTCATCTTAGTGAGGGAGGGCAAAGAAGCTCTGCCATGACTTTGGGGTTTACTGGGTGAGTAGGGAACAGCCGGGGTGCTGAGGCGCCGCATTGGGAAAGATGACCCCAGAGACTGCACCAGCTCAGCTGAACTGGTAGGGTTGGTGTCAAAAGGCAGAGCAGTTAGATCATCCTCAGAGGGAGAAGAGCTGCTTTTAGAGGAAGGAAATTCCAACACATCTCCATCCAGCTCCTCATACTGCTGCTTAACGGGCTGCGTACACGGAGACGGAGTCAATGTCACGGTCACCCTCTCTGCAGGATGAGGAGACAAGAAAACTGCCTCCTTGTCCTCGGATGAAGCCCTCTTCTTTCTGCGACAGCAAAGGACGCAACCGAGAACCAGACAGTAGCAGAACACGGCCAGGCCCACAGCCAGCAGAATCTGCAGGTGAACTAGAGAGACAGAGGAAAACAAAGCAGTCAGGACTTAATAATGTGTTGGTGGGACTAAGAAGGAGCATGAGAAACTGAGGTGCAGTGAATCTTTGAGTGGGAGAAAGCAATAGAGAGAAAAGAGAGACAAGAGAGAGATAAAGAGAGGAGCACCATCACAAACTGACAAATCAAATCAGTTTTGTGCTTTTGAGTGACCTGTCAGTGAGAAAAAAAACGACAGACTTTGAATGAAGCCAGATTCATCACAAAAGACCTTAGGACATCTGACTCTAAACATTATCTTGTTGTGTCTGCACTCTGCCTCCTTGATGAGATTAAAGAGGAAATATCTCGGGGTTATAATCATAATTCTATAAATGGTATTGGCACAGTTGCCGTTTTGATCCAAAGCAGGAGCAGAGCACATGCAATGCGTTGGTGTCAATTTTCCTGGCAATCAAATTGTGTGTGCATGTGCTTGTGTGTTTGTGTGTGTGTGTGTGTGTTTTCATCACACGAATGTTGTCTGTGTGCCCACAAAACATTACCATTAAAAGTTGGATAAGACACCAACAACATCATACACACGTATGTGTAGATATATGTGTGGTTGAGTGTATATGTATCCAAGTGGCACTTCAACCAGAAGTCGTGGCACCACACAGTCACATTCTGCTTTTTTGTTTTTCATTCATTTCATGTAATTGCTTACGTTACGAGGTTATGATGTCATGGTTTTGGCCATTTAAAAATAAAAAAAAAAATCAAAATATACTCCTTACTAATCCTTCTTGTTATGATTGCACTGAGTGAAATTGTGGTGTATTTTTTATTTAATTGCATCAACACAGGTTTAAACATAAGTGAGGAAACAATTTTAGTAACAAATGTAAAGCTACCTTTTTATTTTCACACGTTTGTTTTTCACTTCTCTTCATTTTTCGTGACCTCTAAGCAGCAGCACAGTGACAGCTGACACTGACATAGTTAAGTGGTGTAAACAATGAAATCTAACCACTTGCCCTCTATAAGCAAGTGGTTAAGAGCTGCCTTAAACAGCAGTTTTGTTGCTTGTCACCCCAATCTACATGTATATATATATGCATGACAGTATGCATGTATTGACAGTATGCATGGAAATGCGTATGTATACTGTGTATGTACTGTATGTGTAAGTACTCAATGTCAGCCTTGACGATTTCTCATACTAGACAGCTTTTCATAGACCCTGATGCTCATTTAACGTCAGATAATGCGGGAGCACTGGGATGACTCATGCATCAGACACACTGGGGGACAGCAGTGAAAATAAGGTTCGAAAGCTGTGAGCTTCCACCAGTGACCATTTCAAGGTAAACAACCAGCCGTGAGAGTGAAAATCATTTACAGAGAAAAGCTTAATGCTTTTATTACTATTAAGACCTTTCACGTACATAAAATCCAACACTTAGTAGGGACGAATGCTATGGTTTTTACTCTTAATTAATAAACCAGATTTTTTAAATCAGCAGCTAATCACTGAAAAAACACACATTCTATCTGACTATCTGAGGGTGTGTCCTAATATGCACCATACATGGATTCTCACATCATCACGAGAGTTATCAGACGCTCACTGCAGGAGGTGCATCCTTGGAAAGACTAGATCACTATCAGAGCAAGTGTTGTGCTGGCTGTCAGTGCAGATCCATTTCAGCCCTGTCAAAGAGTCAGTCCAGGAGCAGGCAGCTCCTCAGCCAGCCTCCATTAACAGATGAAAGTACAGATGGGCTGAATGCTGCAGTGGTGTGAGAAAATAAAGGCTGAGGGTATTGCTGACATGAGTCAGACTGACCAGCCAGTGAGCTCTGATGATTATAGAGCAAATGAGGTAATGGTGAAACATGAGCTGAGCCAATTCAGCATTTAATGCAGAATTCTTACTTGTGTGTACAGGCTGCTGGTAAACTTCATTTAGACATGCATATAGTAATAACAAGATGGGAAATTCCATGCAATTACTTTAGTTGACAGAAAGTGTATGAAGCCTATTCTGCCCTTTGGCTGGGATAATCTGGTTTGTTTGTCTACAACACTCTTGGTCCTTATTCACACAAAGTTATCTAAATCAAACAGGGACACCTTCCCAGTGAGTTACAGCCTCTCTCTCTGTTACAGCCTCAGTTGTGTGTGAGTGCATATCCTCCTCAAACTGCCTCATCCTCATCCTCTTTAGCTCTTCATCACGGCTGAGATCAGTTTACCTTTATGATTTCTGAATAAAATCTGTGCCAAGTCGTAATATTTACTCTTTTTTTCTCTTTCTGTTGGAAAAACTGAAGTGCACAAAGAAGCTATAATTTAAAAAAAAAAAATAGAAGCGATCACCGAGGCTCCGGACTCAGTGGAAACTAGTAAAAGTAAGAAACACACAATCACAAGAACACGTTAGGCTTCCTACCTCCCAGAGTGTACTGCGACATGGTCCCACACAGTTTGATGTGCGTGTGTCGAGTCAGAGCGAGCGCTTATGAGAGCGGTCCATCGGCAGTGCGCAAGGACCTGGAGCCTCCCAGCCAATAGCTTCATCGGGTGACTGAGCTTTTATTTCAATCGCAGTGATTGTGCGTTGGAGGCAGAGAGGGTCCACTGGCTTCTTTTAAAGCAGCTCAGCCTATACCAGCGCTGCCGCTCTCCGTCATCTTATCACAGTAATTAGGCCTATAGCTCCTACATCATGTGCTGCTGAAGACAGATTATAGAAGTCACAGAACTGGAGGAGCACACAACAGATAAACGGCGGTCACAGGCTAATTGAGACACGCGTATATACTGTACATAGGCTATCTCACAAAATAATAAAATAAAATAAAGTTTCCTTATCCCAGCCCAGAGACTCATGTCAGGCCGATTGATCAAAATCTGATATTGTTGTTGTCTTGAATCAAAAATGTCATTTCTACATGACAATGAAAGATACACTCAGGCAAGACAAAAACAAGGGACTGTACCTAAATGATTAGGCCAGAAGGTGGCAGGAAGAGACGCTCTTCAACGGACCTGTACCACCTGGAAGGGCAGAGTCATATGACAGACAGGTGGAGCTACCTGCAGGTGTGGTGTCACAGTCAGATGACCACAATGGCTGTGAGAGGTCTTACAACATTATCTCACAGACCCTGGTTCTGGGTTTGACATTGTTGCTTTATGACAAAGAACAGACACAATGGATATATTTCAGTAGAAGCAACTGATTATTGAAAAGTTTTTGCATAACTGAGCTGTATCCTCCTCATTATCTGATGTTACTAATACTTTGTTCGGAACAGAGCTGCTGGATGACCCACGAAAGTTTGCCTGTGTCTGTCGATCACGCTTTACAGGTCGTAGCTGCTCCTGTCAGAAAACAGGCAGAAAAATGTGTTTTTTCTTTTTGCTCAGTTAATTTGCTAGTAGAAGCATATTTTCAGTTCAACAGTGGACGAGGGTCTTTATAGACTTCAGCATTGTACAGTATATTGAAAGAGGGCATCATTTTTTTCACTCACATGAGGACTAAGGTAAAGTTGAATTTATCGTAGGGTTGACCTACAAACATGAAAACAGTCATTAGCTTGTAAATGTGTGCAGTTCCTTCAGAGTGCAGGTCACATACCACTGTCTTGGATCCGCCACCTACACAACCACCACAAGGTCGCATGAACAAAAAGAGAGTGAGTCACCCCTCGCCATGTACAAATACGTATGTGTGTGTGTGTGTGTGTGTGTGTGTGTGTGTGTGTGTGTGTGTGTATGCACGGGCTCTTTCTCTCCCTGCCAGTTTTCTTTTTCACAATATGTGGCATGTGTTTCACGGAAAACATCTCATTCCTGAACAAATCTGAGCGAGTGAGTCATCACCAGAGGCTGAAGAGCCGGTCAACAATTCAATGTTTTTCAAATGCAGGCCTATTTACACTGCATGAGCTTTCCAAAAAACAACTCACATGATCTCTAACACTACCTGCAGTGAGATAATGTCACACTACTGCCTCCTTCACTATTGGATGAAAACAACAAACTTACCCCGTCCTCTTAACAGTCGTCACTGGACTCACAACCATGAGTCTGGTTTTAGAGAGGCTTTTAGTCTCTGTGAAGCTGCACATCCACATTCAGAAAAGCTTTTGATGCACAGATGATCAGATACTTATTTGCAACAGCAAATGAGTTTTTTGAGAAACGTAATGGAACATGAACTGACATAATGAGGAAAGGTTTTTAATGAACATATTTGGAAAATGGTTCAAATGTTTATACTGAACGTATTTGCTCTCGGTTTAATACTGAAAAAGTCAACAGCGATGTAGAGCGTAACATCCCGGGGCTGATTGTGTTACGGAGGTGTTGGGCAGAGCGTGAGTTGAACACCTTCCTCACTTTCCTTTACTGGGCTACTAGGCTCAGGTTGGGGAAGTGAATGAACCAAATGAATGACTATAGATGTGAATGGTAAGAAAATGAGCTAACTGTGTTCTTGATGTATGGGTGCAAAATGGCCTCCTCAGCACATTTTCATGACTACTTACCAAGTATAAAAAGGGAAAGAAAGATGTAATGTGGCACAGTAAGTTGCAGCATGTCTGTTACCTATAGGTACTTTAAGTTTAAAAGCCTTTACCCCCTTTCCAGGTGCTGATGACTTTAGGAGTTTTGGTTGGTTTTTACTCTGATTCAACCAAAATATGGGCTTTTTATGACCCACACAGCTTTTCAAGGCCAATTCTGTGAGTACCAAGAAAAATATAGGTCAATTAATCAACAACAATTAACAATTTTGATTCCATAAACAATTTCCATTCATCTGTAATACACAATTTAATATTAACCCATCACTAAACTGAATTTGATAGATTTCAACAATTGATTTGTCCACATTATTAAATGAAACAAATAAAAACTATTTTTATTGAATTATTAGAAAATAAACCTAATATATCATGAATATATGTATTTGAATGGAAAAGTGGTCTCAAACTTCTGGACCCCACTGTACATTGATTTATTATTTATAAACTAATTGTTTATAAGAATATGTGACATATTCTGTGTCAGGGGCAGAAGGACCCACCTGTAACCCCAAGAAAATCTTAAATACATGATGAATTGTACGTCACTGATTTTCACTACCTTGTTAATCGTCTCAAAAGATGTCTGTGATACCTGAAATGTTAACACACATATTTACACCATCCTGACCACCACTATCCACAGCATCTATTTATGGTTAACATGGAAAAATAACTGTTTATTTTCACATTTTCACAGAGGGCACTGACACTGTCATCTTTGGTTAAGTGTCTATATATACACACGACCACCCACATACATGAAGACCATGATTATGTTAATATTATTGTTATTCTTATTAATGTGATAACTTCAAATCTAACTCTGTCTCTGTAATTCTAGTGTAAACATCCAGGAGTACCCTAGTATGTAATGTATCTTGAACAATTAGTTGCGTTATCTAAAGATCAACACACTGATGGATATTGTTAAATCGGGTATACATTAAAACGGTAGCTCATTCATCCGTATTCAAACGAGTGGATATTTGACCCACCCACACAAAAGCAAAAAAGAAGTGACCCCGGGTGGTAGTAGGTTTTAATCCGGAGCGACATAAGGCTTCTCTTACCAGGAATTTTGGCCTGAGGGCAGCCATATTTATAGCCTAACAAAGTCCATGGTTCATATAGTCACACTGTTTGCCAACAAGCGTGTAATTTCACTACAAATTAAAGGGCTCTAAAGACATACTGTATGTTTCTGCCTTAAAGGTTAAAGAATGTGACAGGGTGTTAAGATAAAAATCTATCTTCCTATTTAAAGCTGCATGAGTTGAGTTTTTTTTTATATATATATATACTTGGGGGCAGCGTAACAAGCTGAAAACACTCTTTAGCTGCTCATTGTTCCGCTATGTTTTCCAGCATAGTAATTCTATGCGGTAATTAGGAATCACCCCGTTCACATTAATCCATCATTACACATACAAATAATCTGGACCCGTGCATCTTAAGTATCTATAACACATCACTTTTCCTTTTTATTTTTAATATTTGTGTCACAAACAAAACACAGCTGACTTGCAAAGAAAGATAAAGGCTGTACTCAGAGTCAAGATTAAAGTAAGGATTCTGATCTCATTGTACATCTTTCCTTAAATCTGTTCCCTCCAACACACCAACACTGGCATTTGGTCAAATTTCAGTACCTTCCAAATTCGTGACGAAGAGAATCTGAATGAGGAGCCAGAGGAGGAGCAGCAGTACGACACCTTCGATCATTCCATTACAGAAGAAAGAGACGACAAGCTGCCACACAGGGGGGTCGGGGTCTTCCTCCTCAGCTGGATGAGGCATCATCTATTGTAGGAAAATATCTGCAGAAAGTTGGTGGCCAAATTAAGTGATAAACTTTAATTTTCAAAAAGTACGATTACAAAATAACAACTTAGATATAAGAACATAGATATTGTTTGTAATTTCAATAACTTCTTGTATTCAAACTTGCACCAATGGTGCACTTTTGGTTAATATCACCAAAAGTGATAGATAGATAGATAGATAGATAGATAGATAGATAGATAGATAGATAGATAGATAGATAGATAGATAGATAGATACTTTATTTATCCCCTAGGGGAAATTCATGTAAATGAATGGAATGTATTTGGAGGACCAACAACCTAAGATTAAAGTTAAAAGAAAAAAAGTAATGAAACAGACCAAAAAACATCACTTAATTTCATTATGACAATAAAATTTCATATCAAGTGTAGCAATATTGTTTGAAAATGCAAACTCAGGATCCCTTTAAATGAATGACTGGAGCCACAGTTTAAAACAACTGGACTCTGAAGTGATGAGAGTAGCGCCTCCTTCAGGCACCTTTTCTCTTCATGTGCTAAATCCCCAATCCTCCAAATCCAAAACCTGTGCAGTCCTAAATAATCAGACGATTGCTTGGAGGATAATCTGTAAAATATTTCACACCTCAGGAGAAAACATTTTCTAGAGCAGCTGAACTGCAGGAATACAGTCAGAGGAAATCTCACACACAGCTATAACGTTTCACTCACAAGAGTTGGGCATCTTCAGTCCTCATCTGAGCCAGCATCCACTGGCTGTTGGTCTGTTGACTGATGAAATCCTTACAGTATGAGTAACACTAATAAATGGTATAATACACTCCTTTTGTTCCTTTCCATTGTGTCATCCTGCATAGACTGTCATGAGTGTTGGTCGACTCAGCTCAGCCACCTGCTCTGATTATTAACTGCAGTGAGCTTTCAGCACATGTGCTGCTGCAGCATTTAAGAGTGTTTCTGGCCAACTTCCAGTCAGAGCTGCAGTCCAGTTTCTAGCCTATCTGTTGGCTGAAGACACACACACACACTCACACACACACTCACACGCACACAAACTGCAAACTGGCT